TGTTTCTGTAGCATCTAGTGGTATTTCTGTGACCATTATCGACAGGACAGGTACATATGGTGCAGATTTTTTAATATTGAGGGGTTAGAACGTGGTGTCATCCATTTCGGAAGATTTGTGTAAACAAAATTCATCACGTTCATTTTTGTCTAAAAAGGCAACTTTGATGATAGCCTGATTTTGTTCGATTGGATGTTTTCCTTTTGTAGCAATAATAAATGTGTTGTATTTATCATAGCACAAGTCAGTGATCATTGAGATCTTTATTTAGGGGTTCGAGCCTCGTAGTTTATCTATCGGGATGTAGGTGAAAAATTTAGAAACTTGGGTTGAAGGAGCCTCAAAACCTATAGTTGTAGTGTCTATAATATTTTCTGATGCGTCAAAAGACTTGTCGATACTAGTTGTTAGTTTGGCTGGAGTGGTATCAGAAGTTGTAGAGGTTGGGATAATAATTTCAGGACTTTTTTCTTTTTCAAGGTTGTTGGAAGAACTTTCTTCAACTGGGTCGACTTCTATAATGTTGGTCTGTTCTGAAAGGGCAGTAATAAGAGGTTCCTTTATATAAGTAAGGAAGAGGTCGTTGTCTGAAGTTTGAAGTGTGTTCTGTTTTTTTTTAGGTAGTTTGTCTATTATGGGCGACGCTGAGTGACCGCGGTTGGTATTTTTTCTCTCTGTTTTTTTGGGCATTTTTGCAAAAAGGGAGAAAGAGTTTCAAATTATAAATTATATATAAAATAAAAATATTATATAATACAAGCATTAATTTTCTATTTTTAATATAACTTATGCATATGACTTTTGGTCTAAATTTTATATTAGAGAAGGGTGAAAGATTATTTTTTAAAAAAATAAAAAAAACTTCAAGTTTTAGAATTCAGAAGTAAGTTTCTATAAAAAGAGTAAAAGAGTAAAAGATTGATTTTTAAAAATAAATAAAAAAAAGTAAATTAACATTTATTTTTTATAGGTTTCAGAATTTTTCAAATTTTAGAATTCAGAAATAAATTCTTATTGAAAGAGGAAGGTAATAGTGAGAAATTATTTTTAAAAAAAAAAAAACTAATGTATACCTTTTTATAAATTCTATTCTATAATTTTTAAAATTTAAAGGTAAGTTTTTACAAAGAGAAGGTAAGGGTGAGAGATTAATTTTTTTTAAAAAAAAAATAAAAAAATGTAACTAATACTTATCATTTTATAAATTCTATTTTTTAAGTCTTAGAATTTAAAGATAAATTTTTACAAATAAAGGTACAATCTAAATTGTTAGTTTTTTTTATGATTATAAAAAAAAAAAAAAACTAATCAAAATATTTTACTTCATTAAGATTTACCTTTAATAAAATTCTAAGATTTATAAATTTTGAATCAGTTTACAAAGGTAAGTTATATTAATTTTTATTTTAAAAATAAAATTAAAATAAAAAAATACTAAAAATTTTGTTAGAACTTATCTTTAGCTCTATATTTTAAAAATCCTGATTAGTTTACAAAAGTAAGTTAATATCAGTTTTTTTTAATTCAGTGAGTTTTTTTTATAAAATCAAAATAAAATAAAATAAAAGATAAAAAAAATATTAATAAAGAGTTACCTATAATTCAATTTCAACTCAAATTTTTAAGAATTGTTTATAAAGTTAAATTTAATGTAATTTTTTTAATTATAAAAAAATAAATCTATTCTAAACTTTCAGATAAGTAAATAGTCAATTATTTTTAAAAAAATAATAATATATTACTAATAGATTTATTTTTAACTTGTTCTAATTTTATATCAGCTTATAAAGGTAAGTTTAATATTATATTTTTTTTAAAAAAAATAAATAAATAACTCAAAAACTCTAATTGTTTAAGTTTGAAGTTCTAAAAAATAAAGTTATCTAATCATCTATTCAATTTATTTAATAAATAATTTGATTAATCTATAATCTGCTTTTTTGACAGATGATATCTAGATTGATCAGATTTGAATTGTATATCTACTTATGTGAGATTGATTTATTTAAAAAAAAATAAAAAATATATATATCATACCATTCTGAAAATAAGTAACAAGTAATAGATAAATATTTATTATTATATATGTAAATAATATAATAAAATATGTGTGATAAATAAAATAATTTCCATAAAAAAAGCATATTATAAGTTGCTTATTTTTGAAATAGTATAATAATTAATACTTACTTACTTTTTTGTAGATTTTATTCTTTAAACCTTAAAACTAGAAATAAGTTCTTATTAAGGAAGGGAAAGATATAATTTTATTACTATTTATTCTATATTTTTTATACATATAATAAATAAATACTAAATTAAATAAATTCTATTTTAAATAAATGTTATGCTAAATAGAATAATAAAATATCTTTAATTCAGCTGATTCTTTACTATATATATACTTAAATTATGATTTTTTTAGTTGTCAATTTTTTTTTTATGCAAGAATAATATAAGAATTAAGATATTCCTTTTCTTTATAGATAATATTGGATAATTTTTATTTTTTACTATTAGAACTTTTTATTTTTCATTTTTTAACAAATTTAATTTAAACATGAATTATCAAACCACTTTTAATATAAACTGTTAGATCTAAATTAAGATTAATATCATAAAAGAAGGAAGTTTATAATTAGAAACTATTACTTTAATAGTTTACTTTAACTTTCTCTAAATATGTAATAAAGGTAATATAATTAATTTTTATACTTTCTTTATTTAACTCTTTAAGAAATTTAATGTTAGTAAATTATTTTTCTAATAGAATTTGCAAATTATAACAAATATTACCTCTATTAATAATTTTGTCTAAGAAATTATAAGATATCATAATTGAAAATAAGTTTAAATAAGAATTTTTTTTAAAATAAAATTTAATTATAACTTTAACTTAGATTTTTTATTTTTTATTTTTTTTAAAAAACTAATATTAACTTATTATGTTAGTAGACTAATACAGATTTTATAAACTTTAAATTTTGAATTAAAAATAAGTCTTAATAGAAAATTTGTTAAAATTTTTATTAAAAAACTAATATTAACTTATTTATATATTATCTTTGCTTTTTTTGTAAGTTTTAGTCTTGTGTTTCTTAGAAAAATTAGTTTTATCAGATGGGTTAATTTTATAATGTTCTTTTTTCTTTTTTTTATAAATTTTTCTTGAAATACTAACCAATTAAAAATTCAACTTTTTTTAAACAAATATAAATATATTTTTTTTTAATAAAAATGCTAAATAACTAAATTTATGAGGATTTTTAAATTAAATTTTAAAGAAATATTACTAATCTTTTTTTATTTATAATAATATCAGTTTTAATTTTATTATAAAAATAGAATAATTAATGTTAATATATTTATTAAATTAGTTTTACAATTTAGCTTAAATAAGAATACAATATTACATAATTTTTTTTTAAATAAACCAAATGAATTCTAATAAGCAATTCTAAACATTTTTAAATCTACACATTTTGTTTTAGTTCATATTAAATATTGGCTGAAGATAAATTTTATATTGTGAAGGTACTAACATTTTTATCATATAACCTGGTTAATATTTATAATAATAGTAGTAAACAAGTACCTATTTTGTAAATTATAAGTTTATTAATTCTTTTTTTTTAATAAAATTTTTTAATTAATAATATTAATTTATTAAAAAACATAATTTTTTGTTAAAATGTATAATATCTTTGTTAAAAACATATAAATTCTTTGTTAATAAATGTATAATTTTTTGTAAAATCCTTATAATTTCTTTTTAAAAGTCCTTATAATTTTTATAATATTTAATGTAATAAAATATAATTTTCTTTTATTATTTTATATATTATTAATTAACAATTTCTTAAACATCAAATTTTTATAAATAAAACATAAAACGCTAAAAAAGAATTTTTTATAAAATATAAGAAAATGTAATACAGAATTTCAAAAAAATATATACAAAATGTATTTAAAATAATGAAAAAACATATGCAAATTTTTTATAGGATTATAATAATTACAATTATTTATAAATTAACTATTATTTATTTTTAATTTAAATATTTATAAATTAAAAATTTTTTAATTAAATTTATTTTTTTTATATTTTATTTTATTGTATTTAATATAAAATATAGATTTATAATACATATAAAATCTTAAAATATATATTGAATATTATTATTTAATAATTCTAAATTATAAGTATCTAATATATTTGATTTATTAAAAATATAAATTCTTTTATAATTTTATAAAAAATATATAGAATAAAAGGTAATAAATAATTTATTAATATAAAAATTTTTTTTAAATTTTCAGATTATTTAATAATTTTAAATTATACTTTCAATATAATAAGTACAGTCACATAAGCATATAGAAAGGTCACACAGAAAATTTTTGTAGTTTATAAGAATAGTTATTTTGTTCAGCCCATTTTTATGGAAAAAGGAACTTCGATGGAAAGAAATGTGTAATTCTAGTGTAATGTGACTAATGTTACATGATTATCATTTTAATAACCGCAGAATTATTTCTTTCCTGTTGTCGTTTCGACTTAATAAAACATCTTTAGTGTAAGAAAATATCTTGTAAATATTATAAATATTTTGGTTTAATATACTTACCAATTTTTTTCGCTCTTTTTTTTTCAAACCTTTGTAAATATAGATCTAAACAAATCTTTCACACTCTTTACATCACTATTTTCAAGCTAACAAAGGTAGAATGAGCTCTATTAATGGTAGTCATAACGCCGATACATCACAGCCTTCAGTAACTAAAAATTTAGTTACTGATAATAGTGATTCAAACCAGGCAACAACAGTTGTGAAGACTCCAACACAATCGGAAAATAGAAAATCGCATTCGGGAGGCGATTCAACTACATCGTCGTCTGCATTATCTTCACAGACTTCACAACAAGAAGAGGCTGAGGACAAAGTTAATTTGACATTACTCTTAGTTTCAGGGAAAAGACATACATTTGTTTTTGATCCCAACGATACAATAACAGTTGTTAAAAGTCGAGTTTTTAATAATTGGCCTAAAGGTAATTGGGTCTATTTATTTTATTCAATTAATCGTTCACTTGAATTGAAAGATTATACATAAAAATATTTTGTGATAATTGGTCAATTCGAATTTTTTTTTTTTAATATTCTCAATTATTATATGGATTGTTTAACTTGGTTATAATATCAACTTTTAGAATGGGCCGATGAAACTCCGGTAGCGGTGTCAAGCTTGAAGATAGTGTACCAAGGTCGATTTTTAGAGGATGGAGCTACTCTTGAATGTGATTTTCTCTATTATATAATTTTTCAGTTATCATTTATTTTAATATATCAAGATCTATTACTAATGATTTTTATTTCATCAGCAAATAAGATTCAACGTGGGCAAAACACCATTGTACATTTGACTATAAAAAATTTGTTACATCAGGATAACGAAGGTTTGTTTATATATTTTTTGTTTTCAAAATTTTTTATCAATTACTAAACCCTTACAACCTTTAAAATATTTTAGATCCTAAATCTGTAGAAACTGCACCAAAATGTCGCTGTATAATACTGTGATAAATTGAATGCTCCCGAATTAATTATTTTTAAAAAATCCAATTTTACCGTCGTTTTAACTCGGTATTTCAAAAAATTTATCTTTAAGTAAAAAATTTTTATATATATACATTAGATTTTTTAAAATTTTCTTTAAAATGATAAATTCCAAATTTTTTTCTTATCAATCAACATGCATTCATAATTCGGATTTAAATATTTTTTTTTTAGTTCTTATTTGATCCAACTTATTATTTGGTTTTTTATTAGTTTTATCATGAAAAAAAACAAAAAATAGCAAGACAATTAAGACAATTAGAATAATTTTTTTTTCTTTTAAAAAAAAAAAATTTGATTTTGAGAGAAGACAGAACTTTATTAGATATATAATAGGAATTTTTTTATTAGGTAATGGAATTATTAAAAGAACAAAAAAAAGGACATTGGAACAGGTTTTGGTTATTTGGCTTTTGTGTACAGACTAATCATATCAATGTTATTATTTTTTATTTTTATTTTATTTAGAAACATATGATAAAATTTTAATTATATTATTTGTATTGTTAATGAAAACATTTATTGTTTAATTTGTATACTATTATGACTCATTTATTTATTTATTATTTTTTTATTTTTTTTAAAAAAAATAAATGATTTATATATATATATATTTGAAGTAATTTTTTTATGAATTGTTTGGTTCATCTTTTAGAAATAATTACATCACACGATATACAATTCTCTTTTAGATATGATCGTCAAAATTTAATTGTCAAAAAGTTATTTTTATCTTGTAGGATTACGTCGATCACTGAGCGCTGGGGTGTTCCATATCATATGTCGATCATGTCGATCATCTATAGTGTATATCACATAGGAAAATCAATTACTGCGGATTTTTCACTCTGTAATACATGTCGATCATCAATCTGGCCTTTATTATGTATTTACTATATTTACTAGAAGCGTTACGATCGAGTTTATTTCCACAATGAAAGGCACAAACAATAAGATTGTATATATCAAATTGTTCGTAACATGTATTCTTTCAAATGACAGTTTTCTTTTTAAATTTTTTTTTTCTAACTTTCTTCTAAAATGCCGTATTAAGCATAAAAATTTAAGTTTTTTAACTTTTCGCTATGTAAGTTTTTCAAGTTTTATTTTTAAATGTAAAAAATAAAACTGTCACGTTAATCTAAATGAAAAAAAGGATTTATTTAAGGTATTATTCATTAATTTTGTATTGTTGAATATGAAAATGAACTTCTTTAAAAATATAAATTAATAAATATATTACATAATATATATATTATAATGAATAAAAAAAATTCTAGAGGCCGTCAATTGTCTAATGCTCGTAAAATTCGAGCCGAAAAACTTAATGATGCTTCTCGCTTACAGAAGTTAACCACCATTACTACTTCTTTGGAATCGATGAGTTTTGAAAATCTTCAAAAATTACAAATAGAATTGGATAATTTTAACAATGAATCTGATTCTAATGAACAACATTTTTCTGATGTTGAAAAGTTACGAGAGCTTATTGAGAATATTAAGAAACTACATGTCAATCAAGTTAAGGCTGCATATTATCTTTTTCAAAATATGAAATATACAAAAGAAAAAAATCAAGGAGATATTTTTTCAATTTATGTACAAAAAAAAGCAATAGAATTTCTTAAATCAGAATTATACAAAAATACTGAAACAAAAGATTATCTTCAAAAAAAAGTCAAAAAACTAGAAAAATTTCAAGACAAATCTCTTTGTAGTTTAAATTCTAAGATAACAAATTACATAAGAAGCATATTTCAAAAGTTCGTGCTTATAGAAGAAAATTATTACCTATTACTAATACAAAACTTAAGTCAGCAATAACAAAAATTATTAAAGAAAATAAAAAAGAATTTTCATCAAGATTTAAGTTAATAATTACACAAATGACACAAGCAGGAGGAACTTTAATGAGAAGTACTATAAAATGAGCCAAATTATTTTATAAATTTATTACAAGACAACCAGATAATACATTTTTATCAACACAATCTATAAGTCATTAGCATAAAGAAATTTCTTCTTTTCATATAAAAGAAAATTTTTTATCATCTTTAATATCATCAAAATATTTTACTTTTGATATAATGGCTGATGAGAGTGGGCGTGATGAAAAAAATTTTTTCATTATTTGTTTTATATTTTAGAATTCAAAAATTAATATTTCAGATATAGTATTATTAGAAATAGAAGATCTTATTTGATGTAATGCTAATACAATTGCAAATGCTATTGCTAAATTTTTGAAAAATATTCTTTATTATCAAGTCAATGTCTTACATTTTTATCAGATAATACAAATTATATATCAGAAAAAACAGGTAGAATAGTTGTAAAATTTAATCAACTATTTAAAACAAATACTTTTCAAATTTCTTGTGCTTTATATATAACATATATTATTTTAACTAATTTTGAAGAAATAGCTTTTGGAAAAATTTCTGCAATAATTAAATTTACAAAAGAAAAACATCCTTTTAATCTTTTATATCTTGTATGAGAATTACATAATGATTATAATGAAAGTAATAAAGAAAGTCCATTAGGAATGAAATTTGAATATATTCAAAATCTTATCAAGTACTTATTAGAGAGTATTTTTCAAAATATCAATAACCTTTACATATATAATGGCTTTATAAATTAAAAATAGTACAACAATATTTAGAAAGATAATTATTACATATTAAATTTGTATTTTGGTTTATTTTTAAATTAAAATCTTATAAGAAAACTTTAAAAATATATATTGAAAAATGGAAATTATTTTATAATAGACTTCAAGATTCATTTTTAAATATTCAAATTAAATGTTTAGTTTGATTTGAAATACAATTTTATAGACTATTTGTTTAATTTATTTCTGAATATAATCCTACACCTAAAATTCTTAATGAAAATAAAAAATTAAAACCACTTCCTACTAGCCATCGAGCCTATTAAATGTCAGATGCAATAGTTTAAACAATTTTTGATTTAAAAAATATAAATATCATTTTTTTGGAAAAGAATTACTTAATGCTGTTTTAATATTAACAGATGATGAATATTTTATACTTATTAATGGTCTTCAAAATGAAGTAAAAAAAGCACTTGAATTAAATAAAAAATGGTTAAATAGTTGGCTTTATTTACCATTAAGTATTTGTCGACTTGGTGAATCTCATAAAAAACAATTTATTTGAAGTTTTGCTCATATAATACTTAATAAAGTTGGAAATAATTTCCTATTTTATATGAACTTATTTATGCACATTATCTTAAAATAGATTTAGAAAAAAATA